TTCCTTTAAGGGCAATCGTCAAAAGAGTATTGTTTTTTTTATCACAAGCCTTTATATCTGCTCCGTGATTTACAAAGTGTTTTAATAGTTCAACATTATCAAATTGCAATATGTCAACAATTGGTAAGACACCATCTTTATTTGGTACATTAACGCTAGTACCAACTTCTACAAGATATTTTATCTTTTCAATGCTTTTGCTTTCTATAGCTTTTGAAAGCGCTGAGTTTCCGTTTTTATCTAGAGCATTAACTGATGCGGCCGCTGTAACTAAATGTTTTAAAGAATCGATTTCACCACTTCTTGCTGCAATATGCAAAGGAGTCTCCCCATACTCGAATGAAGTATTAATATCTGGCCCAATGTCTTTCAATATGCGTTTCCTGTTATATCTATATTGTAGAACTGTATAATGCAACTGGGATTCATCATCAACACCCTCAGACATATAGCTAGTATTGACACTACCTTCATTACTCAATATACCTTGGCTTTCTCTTCCAATGATTTTAATCTCAGTGTCAGATTTAACTTTTGATTCAGTTTCCTGTATTTCGGCATTAACATCAGCTCCATAATCTATCAATATTTTGACAATATCCTCCGGTCCACTGGCTGCCAGATGCAAAGCTGTCTGTTTATTTCGTCCTTTCAAATTAACGTCAGTTTTAAATTTAATAAGCAATTTTACTAGCTCTTTGTGGCGTACTGCCATAAATAGAGGACTCTCAAGTTTATCATTTAATAGGTTAACAGATACACCTGCTTTAATCAATAAATCTACCATTTCAGACTGTTTTTTGGCAACAGTAATTTTTTCTAACCCCTCTTTTTTGTAGGATCGCAATGTCTTGTGTTTACTAACATCATCTGAATTGTATGACGCCAGAGCAACATGTAACGCTGTGTTTCCATCTCTGTCAGTTTGTGTTACATCTGCTCCATGTTTTATCATCATTTTGATCAGTTCCTCGTCATTTAACATAACGGCCATTGATAAAGCAGGAACAAGTCCATCAAACAACACGTTAACATCAGCGCCGCTCTCAACTAGAAACATTGCTGTCTCCTTACATTTTCTGTATAAGGCTATCGTTAAAACAGAATTTTTCTCTTCACCACAAGCAGTTAGATCAGCTCCATGATTTACAAATTCTTTCACTAGTTCAAAGCTGTCAAATTGCAATATGTCCACAATGGGAAAGACTCCGTGTTTATTTCGTAAACTAACATTAGCACCAGCTTTTAAGAGATGCATTATCGTTCCAATACTTTTGCTTTCTATGGATTTTAACCGCGCAGATTTTTTGTTCCTCTCTAGAGCACTGACTGATGCACCCACTGTAACTACATGCTTGAAAAAACTAGTTTCACCATCCCTAGCTGCCAAATGTAGAGGTGTTTCACCTTCACATGTTTCAGCGTTGACGTCAGCACAAGCATCTATTAACATTTGCACTATTTCATCATTCTGCCTTTCTGCCGCGAAATGCAATGGCGTCCATTTTTTTTCGTCGACAAAATTTACATTAACTTTTAATTCAAGTAAAATGTCGACACATGTTGGACTGTCGAAAACAATTGCCATAACTAATGCAGTTTTTTCTTTGAAAACAATGTTGATATCAATTCCATCATTTATCAACTGCTGCAATAAAACCTTGTTGTTGTTTCTAAAGGTGTATGTTGATTCGTGCATTAGCGATATGTAGCTTCCTGCTGTAACCAGATTCTTTACCAAGTCTAATCGATTTTTTTTAAATGCCTGGAAAACTCCCGTTTTTCCATCCATTATTATTTCCTTATTTTGTTTAATTAGTAATTCCTCTCCCTTGACAACAGCATCCAAAAAGCCATTTTTTATGGCCATATCTAAAGCCACAATGCCCTTTTCGCAAGAAAGGAAAGCGCCATGTTGAAGCAATTCTCGTACAGCAGTTGTGTGCCTTTGGCCAACAGCGAAGGACAGAACTGTGTAGCTGCCATCAGATGACCTAAGATTTAAATCAGCGCCAGCTCCAAGTAGAGCTCTTATAGCTTGGAGGTTGTTATTTTGTACTGCCTGCATCAACGCAATGTAGCCCTTTTCATCTGTGACATCATAATCGGATAATTGCTTGCCTAAATCTGCTGCCTCATAGATGTCCTCAACAGTATAGACAACTATAGAAGAAGGTAGTTTGGAAGAAGCCATAGTCCTAGTTCTGAAATTATATACACAGATATACAAATGCTTATATGTTTTAAACAGAACCTCTGTTGAACTTGTTGGATGCATACCTCGGTTTATCATAGATGTCTTGCCAATACAAATTATCTAATTTAATATAGCAAAATAACCGGGATTATTATAATTTACGAGAAATTGTATAACAGTGGCAAGTTAAATAAAAGGAGGGGCGGACTGTTAGTGTCTGAAGAGTAGTTATAATAGAGTTGGGGATGATCATGGTGAGAGTTCAATTTATTCAATAATGGTAGGCCTTTTTCAAATTAACCGTTTAAAAAAAAAATAATAATAATAACATAACAACAGCATTTTAATAAAAAGCAAATGAGTAGTAAAGACAAAGTTTGGAAAATATAAATTGAGCTTAATCCTTATACAATTTAAAATTTTCATCAAACCCGAACATGACAAATTGGCCATTAATTTTTAACCCTAACACTAACTTGTTATTAACATTAGCACCAGGGGCGGAACTACAACGCTGCAAGACTCCGCAATGCATGGGGGGGGGGGGATTGTCAGGCCGTTTATGGGGACCACACTCAATCATAATAATTTTTTAAAGTTCCTTTCTCAACCCCCCCCCCCCCCTCACCCCACTCTTAGCCCTACAATTAGCGAATAGATAAATGAATCGTTTTCAAACTTTCTAGCGCTGTACATTCTCCATTTCTCACATTTTATCAGACTAGTCAGCGGATATTAATTAAATATTATATTATTAATTAGTTTGATGAATCTTATTCATAAAATATGGAAGTTAAGACTATTTTTATATTATTAGTACATGAATTCATTGAACAATTATAATCAATTAATATTAATAAATTATGTCATATAGAAAAGATTGTCTGGCCTTTTGTGAGTCGTCAAAAAAAAACATGACGTCATTTATTGATGTCCCTTAAATCAGCTTTTCTTCCGCGTGAGGGGCATATACAGTTGTGTATGCAAACATCGTGTGTCGTTCTTTTACGTATTACTACACACTTCATGCTATCGCAATGAAAATTTGCGAAATTTTGGAGTACACTCCCGCAAACGTTTATGTCATAGGCCTGACATTTGTTTAACATATTGGAGTGACAGCTAGCTATGGGTATATGTTGTTTAGCGCCTCGAGATCCCCAGTGGCACAAGGGATCCGCTTATTGGGTGTCCTGCATAGGGGGCTAGGTGTACTAGGAGAGAAATCAGTCTCATGGAAATAGGGGCCTTCACTGGGAAACATGTCCCAAGAGAACCGTGACGCCTCTGACACCATAGCCGTCGACAAGGGGTGTTTCTTTCATCATTAGCGTAAACCGGGGCGTGTATGTGGTAGTGTGGACAAACTAGCGCCCCAAAAACTAAGAGCCAAAAAATAAAGTACCGATATTGTTTACATTTAATTACCACTATTCTAGGAAACAAGGCAAACGTCTAGAATAAATACACGACTGGTATTTTGTTAGTGAAAATATCATTACAAAGGCTGCGTCACTTGGATACATTTATGTGACCAGCTAACATAAAAACAAAAGAGAACATGTATCCATAAGCACTCGAATAAAAAAAATGAGCTTCACTTTAAAAATGTTTTCCATTAAAAACAAATGAAAGTATGATAAAATTCTATGTACATTTTTAGTGATAAACATTTATCATTAAATTGTGTACTTTTAGACTTGTGATTTTATATTCTGATTGGATCATGTAAAAAAAGATGGAGATTGCGTCATTCTGAAAGTGACAAAACTCTAGAGGAGTTTTACACAGGAGTTAAAAACAGGAGTTTTTAATAGACGTTTTATAAACCACATATTGACTGACGTAATCTGATAGCTAATGGTGTATTTTTAGTGGCATCTGAAAATAGACGCAGATTGCATCATTTGCAAAGTAAAAACTCTACAGAATAGTTTCAAAAAGTTATTTTTAGAAGTGTGACCTGGTTTTCGAAAAGTGCGTTTTATTGTAAACAATGTTGGGGCTAAATTTTATGGATCCTAGTTGTATGAAAGACTTGAGTGTACGTTAATCACCCTTCGTATTATGTCAGGGGCTTTAAGGGACGCTCTCGAGAGCTACCTGTTACCCTTCCGCAGGGGCGCCGTGGCACGGGCCATGGCTGAGATTAATCTCGAATATCGTGTGTATCATAAAAAAAGTTCAGGAGATCTCTTCCAGATGTACGTGTCAAGAGAGGAGCTGATGTTGCTTCAGACCATCACTTACTTGTTGCTAAAATAAAACTCAAACTGAAGAAAAACATGTTGGAAAAAACTAAAAACGTATTCACATCAACATGCGAAGAAGTGCTAGGCCCTATCAAAAGACAAACTAAGAAATGGATTTCAGCATATACTATGTAAGTTATTGAAGAAAAAAAAAGAAAGAAGGCAACATTAAACAACAGTCGTACACGGGCTGCTAAATTAAAAGCACTGGAAGAATAAACCGAAGGCAAACAAAAATATCAAGAAATGCATAAGGAAAGACAAACGGAGTTATTTATAACTGCTGGCAAGTTAAGCGGAAGAAGCACTGTACCATGGTAATATTAGGGACTTGTACAGTACAATTAAGAAGTACAGTAGGCCATAGAGGCCAGTGAAGACCAAAGATGGAAAGATAATACCTAATGCGGAAGGACAGAGGAAGAGATGGGCAGACAATTTTGAAGAACTATTGAATAGACCAACACCAGATAGCACGCAAGACATACCACCAGCTGTAAGAGATCTTCCTATAGAAGGCAACCCACCTTCAAAAGAAGAGATACATAAAGCTATAAAGCAGCTAAAAACTGGATGGCTCCAGGAATAGATGGTATACTACCAGAAGCACTGACAGCAGATATAGAAACTAGCACCACACTACTACACATATTCTTCAAGAAAATCTGGGAAGATGAACAAATACCAGTTGAATCATGAAGTATCCTTGACCATGTAGGAGCCCAATCACCGAAGCACATGCACACAGGCAGCCGATATAGTCATCGATTTTAGTAGCCAGCAGAGTCCCTAGTGTATGGCGCTCATTAAAACAAATATATGGTCTGTAGTACTCAAAAGAGAGCCTGGGGTGCATTTGGTCACATGAGTGCGAGGGAGCTGGCTCATGTGCCTGTGCAGTTTGACCATCTAATCAAGTAATAACAATGACCAGCTGTGCAGGACGGACCGCTTTACCACAGGGGCGCCGCTCTCCGACGTAAAATAAAAAATAAAAGCTGAAAACTTTGAAGGAGTCAGAGTTTCTTTCAGAAAAAATGTTCTATAAACAAAAACCACTCCCATGAGTATAATCAACGACTTCCTAAATATATATATATATATATATATATATATATATATATATATATATATATATATATATATATATATATATATCGATGGTCTCGGTCGCAAACCGTCTAACTCAAAAAAATTCGATTTTCTTTTTTTTACATAAATCAAAAGCCAGTATGATTCCCCATAATGCCTGAAAATTTTATAGAAATCTGTACAATGATTATCGAGATATAATCATTTGAACAAACCGCCTATTATTTCTAGCGCTAAAAATCTCGGCGCAAAACGAATATCGCTATATTTGTCAGTACACTTTTGATCGGGAACGCAGTCGCACGCCGTAATCACACAATTTTACAGCACAGCAGTCACAGTACTTATAGGTAAGGATATTTGATTAATTATGTTCAACTATTCTATTACATTTTATCATTTTAAAGAATAATAAACAAATAGTATTTGTTTAATGTAGCCTATTTCCAGATTTCCAATAACCAAACTGATTTCTTTACAATTTCTTAGGCTAACACAATGCTTTGAAACTAGATCTTCATTCTAGAATCTAAATATCAATCAAAACAATATAATTCGAATTATATTTCCACAATAATGTGCAATGAATTTAATAATAGTTAATTCACTACTAGCTTTAGATTGAGGGTTTAGATACGTGTTAAGAAATGTTTATATGGTAGGTTACAAAATGTTTGGCGTACATGTTCAACGACATGGTTAGTTGTCTTTAGTAAATGCTTTTATGATTAATTTTTCAACAGACAAGCCTATCTCAACATACCAGATTCTCTCAACAGATCAGCCTCTCTCAACATACCAGCCTCTCTCAACATACCAGCCTCTCTCAGCAGACCAGCCTCTCAACGTATCAGCCTCTCTCAACAGACCAGACTTACCACATAACAGACCAGCCTCTCTCAAAAGACCAGTCTCTTTCAACAGACCAGCCTCTCTTATCAGACCAGCCACTCTCAACAGACAAGCCTCTCTTAACAGATCAGCCTCTCTCAACAGACCAGCCTCTCGACATACCAGCCTCTCTCAACAGATTAGCCTCTCTAAAAGACTAGCCTCTCTCAACATATCAGTCTCTCTCAATAGACCAGCATCTCTTAACAGATCAGCCTCTCTTAACAGACCAGCCTCTCTCAACATACCAGCCTCACTCGACAGACCAGCCTCTCTCAACATAGCAGCTTCTCTCAACAGACCAGCCTCTCAACATATCAGTCTCTCTCAACAGACCAGCCTCTCTCAACAGACCAGCCTCTCTCAACAGACCAGCCTCTCTCAACATACCAGCCTCTCTCAACAGACCAGTCTCTATCAACAGATCAGCCTCTCTCAACAGACCAGCCTCTTAACATATCAGTCTCTCTCAACAGACCAACCTCTCTCAACAGACCAGCCTCTCTCGACAGACCAGCCTCTCTCAACATACCAGCCTCTCTCAACAGACCAGTCTCTATCAACAGACCAGCCTCTCTCAACAGATCAGCCTCTCTCAACAGACCAGCCTCTTAACATATCAGCCTCTCTCAACAGACCAGTCTTACCATACAAGACACCAGCATCTGTCAACTGACAAACCGTAAAGGCACCAGCATCTCTCAACAGACCAGCCTTTCACAACAGATCAGTCGTAACATTAAGGCACCAGTAACTCACAAGAGACCAGTCTCTCTTAGCAGACCAGTCGTAATAAGATCAATCTTTCTCAACTGACCAATCTTACCCTCCAAGATACCAGCCTCTCTCAACAGACCATTCTTACCATACAAGAGACCAGCCTCTCTCAAAAGATTAGTCTTATCCTACAATAGACACGCCTCTCTCAACACACCAGTCTTACCATATAAGACACCAGCCTTTCTCAACAGATCAGCCTCACATTAGACACCAACCACTATCAAAAAGACCAGCCTTACCATACAAGAGACCAGCCGATCTCAAAATACCAGTCAGACCTATCAAGAATTCAAAGCGACAGATATTCGTGCACTGCAGTACAAGCCTGATGCTACTGTCTACTTCAAAGTGAATTAGCAGATAGCTGGCAATTGCTAAGCTAGGGTCGTAAGATTATGATCTCATCTGTACCCCTGTCAAGTTGTACAAGAGCAGAAGATAAAAGCTGTCATATTTGAGCACCTAAATGCAAGTCATAAACACACCTTTTTATGATGATTTCCCTGATTTTAAAAATATGTTGCCATTTTAATTTTTCTTTATTTGACGTTTATTTAAAGAATAAATTTTAAAAATAAACACATTTTTTTGTGTTACATTTTTGTAAAATAAGTAAACATTAAGTCAGTATTAATGTGATTAGTGTTATGTCTCATTCATAGTATATCTGACAATACGGTTTCTGTTTTTACTATTATCATTCTACAAACCCAGCACCCACCAGATTTAGTAAAATAAACTGTGAGAATAGAAAGATGTAATAAATAAAGCATAACCTTCAATAGTTAACAAGTCTAGTGCTAAATACAGACATCATGAATACAGTCGAAAGCGATAAAGCCATACTAAAACATCTCTACTAAAAATTAAACTGACACCATAATGTAGAATAAACTCAAATAATTAAAATATGAGCCCAAAACTATAATCTAAATATTATGAAGTGATAATTATAACTTAAAAACATAAAAATAACTAAATCACGTTCATTGGACAAAACGAACGAACGCGACTGAGACCGAAATTCTCGGCTCAAAACAGCCAAGTCTGCGCGCGCACAGATAGACGGTTTGCAGCGAGAATTTTAGACCGAGAAAACCGTCTATCTTTTAAAACCTGCTATAATTTTGTAAATATTAACAAAACTCATTTTAAAACGCTACAGTATAGTCGGTAGAGAGTTTCTTCGCACATATGATTAAAAATAGTTTGTATTAAAGCGATCAACAAAGAAATAATCAGTTTTTTGTCTCTCCTGTAAAATTTACATTTTTGGAGTTAGACGGTTTGCGACCGAGACCATCGGTATATGTGTGTGTGTGTGTGTGTGTGTGTGTGTGTGTGTTTGTGGATTTGTGTTTTATGCATTACTACACATTTTATTCGATCGCCATGAATCTTTGAGAAGTTGTTGATAATACTCCTGGGCGGAGGGGGGAGTTCTGCGAAAATAAATGCATTTTCACAGAGTCTGCGCCCCGACATGTTGCGATTTGACGCCCCATTATTTCCCAAGATCGCAATCGCTTTCAACAGTGCGATAGACTATGGATAAGAAGGGGGATTAAAGTTGTTCACTAAATTAAATAGGCGCATCCCCGGCGCGATTTAGCACCCAGTGTTATCTGAAAAACATACTTTTGTATATCATTTTTGTATCGTGTTCTGGGTACGATTTAGCGCCCCGGTCTATAGCGATTACGTTAGTTTTCAACAGAGCCATAGGCTATCTATAAGATGGCGTAGGCATACTTTAGTTGTTAAGTAAATTCCGGCGCCCCGACAGGTTGCGATTTGGCTACCCGGGTATTTTGTGAACACTATGGTGCATACGATTGTTTTAGAGAGTTCAATATTCTATGGATACGATGGGTTACAATAGTTGTTCACTAAATCGAATCAAGCATTCGCAGGCGCCAATGGAGAGCGCTATTTCGCCTACGTTCGTTTTAAACAGTTAAATAGAGTATGGATAAAATGAGGTAAGTTGAATCAGGCGCGTGCGCCGGCGCCTCGACATGGTGCGATTTAGCGCCCAGGGTTATCTAATAAACAAACTGTCGTCTGTCATTTATGTATCGTGTTCTAAGAAGGTAGACAAATAGGTAAATCATATCGTCACCTGGGCGCTGTAAATACATTCCGTTATCGGATAATGGGTGTGTCTAAGCAGAATACTAAAGGGTATTATAAAGCGGTAACAGCCAAGCAATACTAGTGTCGATATGCGAAACAGTCCACTCTATTCTGTCTTACGACTGGATAAATTACATGGGTTAAAACGGTTTTATAAGCTTATAAACTAATTCAATCTAAGGGGTCGTCCATAAATGACGTCACACTCGCAGGAGGGAAGGGGGGGGGGTTCGTAATTTTGTGACGGTGTGTGATGCGGGGAGGGGTCAGATGGTGTGTCCTAAGACTTTGCATAATAAACAAGCAATGTTAGAAAATGAGTTTTAGCCGCTATTTCGCGTTTTTAAAAACTGTTTTAATAAACTGTAATCGGAACTGATTAAAATACTCTATAATGACATAGTTCAGACATGATTTTGAAAACAAATCGATGTTTTAAGAAAAATTCAACTGCAATTTTGCAGGGATAGAAGTGTGAGATGTGACGTCATTTTAGGGGGGTGGGTTTGTGTAATTTTTAGAATTGGCATAATTCTTGAACATATTCAAAATAAAAATCTAGATGTAGATGTAGACAAAAAAAACATACAACACTCGTAATCGATCTACTTGTTAAGTTGAAAGAAAATATTCCGCATGTCTGAATAAAAAAAAAACCAAAAGCATGAAACCAAAAAATGTCTTGCAAATTGTGTCTTACTATTTGCCCGAAATATTCAAATTTGAACTCCAATTTTACCACCTCACCATTTCGCGTCTTGCACCT